AACCCTTTGCTTGGATTAAGTATTTGGTATTAAGTATTACATAAATACTAATGGCTTAACGGTCACATTTTACTGTTTCATATTGAATTTTACATCTTTGCACTGCATGAAGTCAGAAATGCTTTAAAGATGGAAGATGAGAGGAGGGCGTGTGCAAGAGGAGGAGATCGGATGAAGGAAGATGAAGGACACAGGGTTTAAATAACATCCATTACCTTTTATCTGCTTATGAATATATCCTTAGTGGTTATCATAAATGTTAATAATAAGTTTTATTGGTAACCAATCCCTTTGATAATCATGTCAGTGTTGTTATAATCCATACTGTATACTGCTGGATTGAGCATATTCTATACTGTGCAATACTGCCTGCAACTGTGTCTCTGATAAACAGCACCACAGATGGCGGTAGAGCGAGCACAGTGGAGAGCAGATAGAGGAGAGAGAGATAGAGTGTGTTTCCAGCGTCTCGTCTCCTTCACAGCGCTGGAAGGTCAGCCGAGCCGTAACACTCGCTCCCTTTCCTCTTCAGTTTCGCTTTTATTCCAGCAGCAGCAGCAGCACTGCAGCGCTCCTTAACAATTGTCATCATGACGAATCAATAGACTCTCCACAGACACCTCATCCTCACCCCCCCCCCCTGCCGCCCTTGAGTTTTTAAACACTGATCCAGCAGATAGTCCAGTTAAAGTCTCTTCCCAGGACTTCTATTTCATGGTTTATCCTTCACCTCTCTTCTATCCTTCCTTCCGCCTTTTCAATTAGTGTACAGTATGTTCTCTGTCTCTGTTGGATCGTCCTCTGTTTCACTCTACGCATCATTTGAAGATGTAAAGGTATAATATGCACCATTTCCACTTGTAAAGGACTAACAACAACCAAAGGTTTGTTATTTACTGTGACTTGTGTACTTACATTATACAAAATGTTCAAAAAAACTAAATGAATCTATCATTTCAATTCAGGTAACGGTAGGTTATTTTGTTGCGTTTAATTCCTTTGGATTGCCTTTGCGCATGCATCAGAGTTCGGGTGTTTGCTAGAAGCTGTCATAAACTTGACTTTGGATATTGTGTATCCAGTTTTAAGCCACATTTTCAGAATACACTTTTTAGAACTATACTTTTTTAAAAACTGAATGAACGATTACAGATATTGGACCTTTGCATCAGAAATTCAGAAATTAGAGAAACAAGCCGAGCAAATGTTAGTACTTCACCAACAGAATTTTCACATGAAACTCCTTTTCTCACTGTTTTTGCCAATTGTGTTTACTTGGTCTGTTTGTTCCGGAAGGGAAAGGCCCCTGCAGATTATAAGCATCCTTATAAAACCTTACTCAAAGTCTTAATCTAGAGATACAGTTGCAAGAAAAAGTATGTGAACCCTTTGGAATTACCTGGATTTCTGCATAAGTTGGTCATAAAATGTGTTCATGATCTTCATCTAAGTCACAACAATAGACAAACACAGTCTGCTTAAACTAATACCACACAAACAATTATATGTTTTCATGTTTTTATTGAACACACCATGTAAACATTCACAGTGCAGAGTGGAACAAGTATGTGAACCCCTAGGCTAAAGACTTCTTCAAGAGCTAATTGGAGTCAGGAGTCAGCCAACCTGGAGTCCAATCAATGAGACGAGATGGGAGGTGTTGGTTGAAGCTGCCCTGCCCTATAACAAATACACACCAGTTTTGAATGTGCTATTCTTAAGAAGCATTGCCAGATGTGAACCATGCCTCGCACAAAAGAGCTCTCAGAAGATCTACGATTAATAATTGTTGACTTGCATAAAGCTGGAAAGGGTTACAAAAGTATCTCTAAAAGCCTTGATGTTCATCAGTCCACGGTAAGACAAATTGTCTATAAATGGAGAAAGTTCAGCACTGTTGCTACTCTCCCTAGGAGTGGCCGTCCTGTAAAGATGACTGCAAGAGCACAGCGCAGAATGCTCAATGAGGTGAAGAAGAATCCTAGAGTGTCAGCTAGAGACTTAAAGAAATCTCTGGCACATGCCAACATCTCTGTTGAGGAATCTACGATACGTAAAACACTGAACAAGAATGGAGTTCATGGGAGGACACCACGGAGGAAGCCACTGCTGTCCAGAAAAAACATTGCTGCACGTTTGAAGTTTGCAAAAGAGCACCTGGATGTTCCACAGCACATATTCTGTGGACAGATGAAACCAAAGTAGAGTTGTTTGGAAGGAACACACAACGCTATGTGCGGAGAATCCAAAGGGTTCACCTACTTTTTCTTGCAACTGTATTTAGAGAAACAAATTGAGCAAACGTCAGCGGTATCTTGGTTTGCTTTGAACAAGGTGGAAGAAACATTGATTTTAACGAAAATCTGCTTTTTTAGAGTTTTTAGCAGTTTTAATCACCTTGTTTGTGACCTCAAGGATAAAAACCTTTCTGATATGTCATAATATTGTTGTAGGAAATGTAGCGTAAATAGTCCTTCTTGAACATTATTTGCTGTGGACTCAAACTTTGGGTGAGCCATGATATTTAATCCTCACTATCTGTAATAAAAGAGTGATTTTAACGTAGGAGTTTCTGTTTGAGGTGTTTCATTTTTCTTTCTCCATGTCCCTCTTTGCGTTGACTTCAGGTGTTATTACACTACGTCTTATTTTCAGCTGACATGTAATTGTGATTGTGTGTGTAAGTGATTCTTTCCAATCCGTTGTAAAGTTGACAACCACCATAAAACCAATCAGTGTGTGTGTGTGGGTGTGTATGTGCTGATTAGCGAAGTGCTAAGGCATGCGGCACGTAAGATGCGAGTGCTAATTCGTGTTGCGAGCATCACAGTGACTCGTCTCGGCCCTCCGGTAATGAGCAGCACTGTCGTTATGTGGCTCGGCTCCACGTGCTTCCTCCCCGTCTCTGCGACATACTGGGCCTAGGTAATTGGTCACAGAGGGGACAGTAAATCTGCGAGAGGACGTGGGAGAAACACAGAGATGGAGCGAAAAAGTGTGTGTGTGTGTTTGCAGGAAGAGGTAGGTGATAGAGGACAGGGGGTGGGTGTCTCTCATCTTCACAGCTTTTTCTCTGTAAACCTCGAACTGTTTACAAGGATTGAAGCCTATTTGCACACACACACACACACACACACACACACACACACACACACACACACACACACACACACACACACACACACACACACACACACACACACACACACACACACACACACACACACACACACACACACAAAGAGAGGCCCCCCCCACCTTTACTGCTACCACCCACACGTATATACAGTAAATGACCTCAGCGCGCCACAGTCTCTGAGTATGGATTCTAATCAGACGTCGGCAGTATTGTGTCTGTCAAACCCTCCAAGGTTACTTAACCTTCCAGTCTTAATTTCCCTTCCATTTTAGCTCCTTCCTCCATATCAAACATCAGCACATCTATGAGAGAAAAAAGGAAAAGAAGAGTGCGGGGAGGAAAATGAAGATTGCCATGCTTGGCTGAAACTCGCAGATGAAAGTAGAGGATGATTCACGCTGCTGTGGCAAAATGAACTGAACTGTGCTGCCCTATTTTTAAACTTCTATACATTGCAGCTACTGGAAGGGGACACTGTGAAGCAGAGCAATTCATTTTTATATCACCAGCGAATGGGGGGTTCCTGGAAAGTGTATGGAAACTAGCAGTTTACCAGGAAGATACGTTTTGGTACATTCTGTTAGCTGGATGAGTTATCACTTAGTCTGACTGTGGACTAACTTTGTCACCTCGACATAGTACAAACGTCCAAAGCGCTGTCACAATCCTTTACAGATGTGTAGTTTGGATCAAAATGACGGTCGATTGGAAGATGGCTATGGTCAGAATGGACAGCAGAAGTAGGAGGGTAGAAAGTGAGAAAGGGAGCATTGTTCCCCAGCTTTATGTGATTGGCCAGATTTAATTTGCAGTTGGTTTGTTTTCATTGCAAGATGGTCTATAGTTTTAATTAAATATAGGCAAATATACTTTATGTTGACTTGTGGTTTACCATTTTTGGTGACCCCAGTGTTTGTTAGGGTGGATTTATTTGCCCCAAGTTTACAAGTTGGAGTTACAACTTTAAGAGGCGATCCATTGTACTTTTTCGAGAAGGAGGTTGGAAATGTATTTGCATTACCAAATCTTTTCATACTGCTGAATGAACCCAAACTATTCTGATTCCGTCTATAAGACAACAGTATAAAGGTACTTAACTTAGCAGTGTTTAGCTATTATGCCCCGACAATCTGGAACAAACTGCCTGAAACATGCACGTCCGCAGAGACTCTTAGTATTTTCAAATCGAGACTGAAAACATATATTTTTGCTGCTGCTTTTAATTGAGCTGATCATATGCGCACTGCAGTATGCATTTTATTCATGTATTGTATAACTGTTGTGTTTAATTTATTATCTTTGCTTTTTAAATGCCTGTTGTAAAATGCCATTATATAATGTGTTTCTGCTGTATTTATTCTTAAACGTCTTTTATTTTATTTTGTAAAGCACTTTGAATTGTCGCGTGTTGAAAGGTACTATATAAATAAACTTGCCTTGCCTTACTTACTTTTGTATAGTACGGTGTTCACTGCAGCAACGACAACTGCTGTGAGAACCCTAACCCTTAGCGTTGAGATTGGGATGTGTCCAGCCTTTCACACACAACTTTTTGAACATTATGAGTACACCTTCTGGGTACTAATTATATTGCAACTATATTTTTCAGTATGATTGCAATTATGCAATTTAAGACACATCAGCATGCTCACAATGAAATACTAACATGGTGATATTTATGTATCATGTTTAACAGTTCACCACCATCTTAGTTTAGTATGCTAACATTTACTAACTAGCCCTAAACACAACGTGCAGCTAAAGTGTAGATTCAGGCTCTGCCTGTTGGTGAAAGTTGAAAATCTTCAAATAAAAAGCAGCACAACATATAGAAGCAGAGAAAGTGCTTTTTCTCTCTCACCTGAAAGGTCCAGAGGCCCTGTGGCTGCTCCCCCCCAGCAGTGCATCGTCATCAGGGTCCAGTTCTTCAGGCCGGCAGTGGACGCGTCATTGGGCCTTCTGTCCAACAGCAGTGAGACAGTGCCAGCTGGAGACGCCAGGCTTATGGAGAGGTCACCGCGACACACCGCACTAATGCTCACTCTCACCTGGTGAGGGACAGGTGGCAAGAAACAAAAAAGACGGAGGTGTGAAAAGGAAGATTGATAGAGGGTTAGAGAAATAGGGAATACAATAGAGAGGAGTGGGTGGACAGAAGATAAAGAGCATCGAGCCTTCTCTTCAGTATCACTGTATGACACCTTGTAGCTGTTTACTGAAAACGAGGAAACTAACTGAAATAATACACGTTTTATTGACACACACTTTGCTGAATTGATAATTGATAATAATTGTATCTTAAAATTAGTTATTTGATTTTAGACACATTTGCCCTCTTACTGAGAGTTTATTCAGAAATGTGATACCCATGTCATATACAGTACGCTTCATATGAAGATAGCTTAGCATAAAGACAAGGGCAAAAAACTAGCATATGTTCTCTTTCCTGTCTAATAACTTGGTATTTAATTCATATCAAATGTATGTAAGAAGAACAAAACATTTTTATTTTTGAATGCATGCAGTTACTGCGCTTTTTTAAATAAATTTTCAAATAAATACACCCCCCCAAAACATTTTTGAATGTACACTTGGTTTTCGTACCCTTTACCTTTAAATCATAAACAAATAATGACACTTTTGCATGACTTTCTTACATTTAGGAAGAAAGAGCCCGGATATTTTTTTAATTTCCAGTCTTTGTGCTATGCTAAGCTAACTTTATTTGTAGCATACAGGCATGAGAGGGGCACCAATCTTGTAATCTCTCTCTGCATGAGAGTGCATTATGCATGTTTCCTAACATTTTTAACAATTCTCGTAAATGTGAAGCTAAGCCTCCTCGGACCAATCAGTGGTCATTAAAAAGTACCAGATAACTGTACTCATCATAAATATCTAAAGTAATTCATGTGACACATGGATGATTAGGCAAATTGGAGGAAATTTGTCAAATTCATATCGAAATCCAGTCAGTATATACTGTGTATAGCAGACAGTTGGACATTGATCTGTCCATACCCAAAGATGAAGACGAAGACATGTAAAGAGCAAAAAAGAGAAGACACATTGAAAGAAATGGCTGAGGGGAAAATGAGCTAAATGATTTAAATAAGCACTTGCAGCCCCCAAACCCCCACCCAGTAAACACTCTCCCTGTCCCTGTTCATCAGTAGCAGCACATCTGGTGTGACAATGGCACATCGCAGAGAGAGCCGCCAAGCTGCAAAAAGACTGACAGCCCGCTCCTGTTTACAGCGTGTTACCACGGCAACACGTCCATCAATCACACCTCACAGCGATGGCCTGACCCACGCTTTCTGCCAGGGAGCAGAGCCGCAAAGATGAAGCCTTTTCAATTTACATGCTGACACACTCCCGCACTCTCTCTCTCTCCTCGCTATTTCACAAGTACATACAACTCACACACACACAGTTAACTCGCACAAACCTGTGCACGTACACACACAGGGTATGTATGCCTGCTGACACAGTTAAACATAAACACATTTGCATGTATGTGCCTCTGCTCAAGAAACACCCAGTGTTGCCATTTTCTGCAAACGACACAGCCAACACATTACACATCTCAGTATGATGCTTTTTGAATTTTCACTGTTCTCAGAACACATGACACAGAAACGCCAACACGTATTTCTATGAAACATTCAAGCACAAATTAATTTTCAATAGACTTAATTTGTATAATGTCAATGTTAAAAAGGAAACACTGAAAGGCTATAACAGCCCTTTTACAACAGTTTTATCGAGAGAAATTGACCTCTTCATCTCTCATGTTTTAAAAGAATAGTTCAACATTTGGGGAAATACTCTTAATTGCTTTCTTGGCCAGAGTAACATGAGAACAATGCCACTCTCATACAGTATCTGTATTTTAAATATGAACCTTTAGCCAGTTATCTTAGCATAGCATAAAAGGGGTTACTATAGGGTGACCAGACGTCCCCGTTTTCCGGGTCAGTCCCCGTTTGTATTTGCCTGTCCCCGGTTGAAACTGTCCCCGGAAATGTCCCCGTTTTTTAATATACGTTAAAAACACATAGCAAGGTGAAATAAAACGTTTCATGTCAGGAAACACTGGGTAAACAGACTGTGGTCAAGCCAGCCCCCACTTCCGGAAAACACACTCAAGCCAGCCCCCACGTTGTATTGCGGTGTGCAAATATGCATTACAGTAGAGGCCTGTAAAAACTGCCTTCAAAATAAAAGCGTTTACTCGGTCAATAACACATATACCTAAAAAACACACCAAACATATTCATATATACTGGAGCTTAAATTAAGCTCAATAATCATTTAAAACAAACTACATATAACTACCACATTATAACTGAGTGAATGTAAAATGTAAGGATACAGTTATGAAGACATATCTGACATTTCCACTGGGTGACTCATTTCAATTGATGTTGACACCATCTCACAACACTCCTAAAATAACATTACTTTCTGAAGCACAATTAAAAATGTATGCTGTTTAAAATCTCAAATTAGATCTATTGTCCATCTTTATTTTGATTATTATTTAATGGAAACCGTCCATAATCACATAGTCATTCGAATTCAATAAAATACTTATTTCACTTCTTTCTGTTTTTGTACAAGAATAAATAAAAATCTATCCAGTATCAAAGACTTATTTCACTTCAGGGTGATAGCAGGACACCCCATCTAGTCACTCAGAGAGAATCTGGACAATCTGATGTACAGTTTCAAAATAAAAGACCTTTGAAGTCTCATATATGAGCTATCTTCCTTCTGTTTGTATCCAACAGTTCAAATGTTCGAATTACATTGAACCAGAATTGTCCCCCTTTTTTCTTTAACAGTGAAGAAAATTGGATGTGTTAATGATATATTGACCGCAAAACTCAAAATGTCCCCGGTTTTAATTTAGAAAATCTGGTCACCTTAGGTTACTAGCCTGTCGGTTGCATCTCCTCTTATAGTCACTGCAGCGGCTCCTGACTCTTTCATTTGTACCTGAATATGTCAAACCCATCCAAATCACGCCCAACATTTGAAAAATGTATTTTTTAGACCCATTTTTGGATGAACGATGTTGGCCAGTGTCAAGCTCACTGACAAACACTGCATTTCCTGTGAGAAATCCATAATAAAAGTAAACTTGTGTTTTGCCAGCATAATGCTTTTAATTTGAAATCACAGCAGTACAGAATGTTCAGTTTACAATACAAGTGAGATCCAGGTCAGTTGTTTTCCCCTATTTCCTATCTTTATGCTAAGCTAAGCTAAGCTAAAGAACTGCTTGCAAAAGCTTCTAAAAATACCAACCTTCTCATCTAATTCACAATCATATGGGTCTATCCCAAACAGTTTAAAATTCTGTAAGATCATTATTATATTTGTTTCCAACAAGACTCCTTGAGAAAACATATAGTTCACTGTAGTGTTTTAAATCCTGACCTGGACGTGCTCTACAGTGTTGATCTCATTCTTCCTCCCACGACAGGCATCTGATTCTATATCAACACTGACCACGCCCCCTGGAGAGAGGATCCTAACCAATACAAAAAACATTACATAAGTCAGTCAGACCTCAGACATCTTTATGCATGAATAATAAACATTTATCCACAATGAAATACACAGACACACACAAAGCAGTGATAGCATGTCTGAAGATAAGATGAAAGATTATTGATTCCTGTGAAGAAGACGTTCTGCAGGTAAGGCATGTGATGCAAAGCAATATAAATAGAACATCAGCAGCTGTAGGGGGTTAAAAACCTAGTGTGTAGTCAAAAGTGGTAGTTTTCCATCAAAACCTTTCAATCCTGCTTTCTTCATCTCAGAGACATATGAAGAACTAGACAATGTATTTCTCCTGAACATCTCGAAGCATGTATCCACACCTTTAAAATGTGTTGATAAGAAAAGTGCACTTCTGGCATCGGCCAAAATACGTGTCCCGTCTCATTCAAAACTTCGGGCTAGGAGACAGAACCTTGCTGCACACTGAGGTCCTTGAATGCATCTTCCTTTGCTGTTCTAAAGTCCAAATTCAAAAAGGGGATAGATCCTTTGCAGTCAATGCAAACGTGGGTATCGTCTTTTTTAGTTAATCACATTATAAAAAAATTCTAGGATTTCAGTTTTATAACATTTTAGTTTGCTTTACTCTCTGTATTCTGTTTTCAAATGGTTTGGGTTTGGCACATTGTAACTGTGTATTTTGAAAGGTGCTATATAAATACATTTATTTCAAGTTATTACCTGGTAGGATGTGGTGTAACCTCTTTGATGCACTTCCTCTGTGGAGAAACCGTGTTAAAGAGCGTGGCGTGCTGCACCATCAGCCCTGCATCCAACAATCCAAAACCATACCTGGAACAAGAAGGGAACATAAAAGCATATGTGTTTGTGTATACAATCAGAAAAAAAGTCCTTATATCCCCACACACATGTGATCTGGAGGCTTTTACTGTAGGTGGGCGGCTGAATGTGCTAATGGCTCCGACATGAGGAAGCAACAAGTCATTGAGGAAGATGATGTTGTCCTCTGACATGATCGCTCCCCTCTCTCCGGGGCTGGGGGCTGCTGTGTGTACCGCCTGTAATTGCCCGGAGGATGGATTCCGAACAATGTGCCATCTCACGGACTGTAATCAAGCCTCATTATTCATTCTTTACCACCCCAATCTGGGTGCTGGAGACACAATGGGCGACCCTTAAGCGGCGTCGCTGCCTGGTGACTGTGTGACCGCTGCCTAGCTTACACTCTCTTCTCCACTTTACCAGCCATCTCTTTACGTCTCTATTGAATCATCCGCTCTCATGTTTCCTCTTTGCCCTCTTCTTCCGCAGAGCAGCCTGCTATTCAGTGTTTTTTCCTCTCTAAAATCTCCTTCACTCTCCTCCTTTAAACCTGCATTTCTTGCATCAGAACTCTCCTCCTCATAAGTCTTAATTCTCCCTCACATCTTTAATTTTCTCTCTTTCACTTCCCTCTTGTTAAAATCACAGTCCTCAGGCAGAAGGGCCGTAACAACCTTCATTCCCCCCAACCCCTCCTCTAGGAAAATCCAGAGGGGGTGACAAAGAGCTAATTTCTGCCATTATTACCATACAGACCTTATGCCGTTAATCTGCAATAAGTGAAATTCATTATCCTGATGACGGGGTCTCCGGGAGCAGCAGAAAGAGAGAGACAGACAGGAGACAGGAGCGAGCTGATCAATAACTCAATCTGCCGCCCGGCATGGGGCTCCGTCTCCTCCGCTCAGACTGTCAGTGTGTCTGAGGAGGGGGGCAGCAGCAGAGCCCACAGCGTCCTCGTCCTAACAGCACGTCGCACGATCAATGGACACAATCTAATCAGCCAGTATCACCACCAATGACTTTTAGCATGTAGGGCCCTGGCATAATAGCATTAGGCAGATGGGTGTGTGGGGTTAAGGTGCGCGGCTGAAGTTCAAGGTCATTCAGGGGGTTAGAGAAAGCTGTGAAGAGTCAGAGCAAAACACAACGACTAGAGCTGAATGCAGAAGACTAGAGGAGAGAGGAATCAACATGGACCCTAATGAGAAGTAAAGAACGTTAACATATATTTGTTTTTCTCTTCAAAATGCGATTAAATGATTGGAGGTAGATGTGGAGTGTTTTTGTTTAGTAGTCAATGTTTAATAGAAGCCATTACAAATCGACTGATCTGTGATCCTGAATGCTAAACCATATTTAAAAACGCATTAAAAACACCTTAATGTGGCTGGTTATACAGATATGACAACAACTAAAAACACGTCTTTGAACCCACTTGAGGGCGAAACCAGAGCCGAGTCTGCTCTGATTGGTTAGCTGGCCGGCTCTGTTTCGATTGGTCAACTGCTCATAGATAAGCCTATCATGCCCATGTGTCGAAGCACTTATATAAGCGTGTGTGTAACAAAGTGATGTCACAATCTTATGGAAGAAAACAAAGGATTCCAATGGAGGGAAATTTGAGATGTAGCCCTAACACAACAGACTCAAAGTTTGGTGGTGTTTGATTTATAATCCTCATTGGACCCTGACTCCAGCTGCTTAAAGTAGAGATAGTCAGTTTATTGTGTGGGGAGATTCTTATGTAGTAACTCTGGTTATTATCTTGGATGCATACAGTTGAAACACTAATATACTTTAATTTCTGGATATGGATACCTAAAACGGATAAGTTTAATAATAACACAAGCAATAACAATAGATCATCTAAGATATTTCCCAGTGTGGGGAGAGCTGATACCCTGACTTCTCATAAAACAGGAACAGTTGGTGGCCGGGGCCCGCCACCCTGCTCCCTTTTAGTGATTACATATACCCTCCCCACCCTGTACCCCTTAGCGAGAGCTGTGCACCTATTAAATCCTACAGCTCCCGCTGATCGATCGGGCTTGCCCCAGCTCCACGGCCATAAACCCACAGACATATATCTGATAGAGAAAGCTGCAGGAAACAGGTTTACCCACGATAGAACATGATGAAAATGACAGATTTTATGTCCCCTGCCATGTCAATGAAACGCAACCACTGAGCTGAGCAGCCTTGAAGGGAGAACACACAGCCTTCTCAGCCATTCCAAGTGAGTAACACACGTACAGCGTGAGCCTTGGGATTTCTCCAAACAACATGATTTATAGCAGTATCTTTGTGGGACACTGCTCAGTCATTGCAGGATTTGTACATTTTACTGACTCGATTGAGGTTTTTGGAAAGACTGTTTAAGATGAAACCCACATCATATCAAGCAATTAGTCAGAAAACAGTCATCACATTCTAAACTTGTTCCTTCTCCACCTCCTGCGTGGTCGTAGGCAGGTTGAGCCAAGCCGACTGCAGAGTGACAGCGGATCTTCTGTCCACGCAGCACGAAGCATGTTAAACCCCCGACCCCCCGCCTCCACACATATCGAATCCACGGCCCTCGCATTTTCTCCGTCTACTTTCACTCCTCGACGGCAAATGGCCTTGCACACTCTTAACTCCCTCCTTCTTTTTATCCATTAGGACGAAGACCACTCCCCCCCCACCTCTCCATGGGGGCCTCTTTGTAACTGTCGAGGAACCCTTTTCACTTTTTGTTCTGCGGGCCTTCCCGGGTCCTTTCTCTGTTGATATTCACACCATCTGCCAGCAGCGTAAGGAAGGTGCACACAGACCCTCCCAGCACTGAGACATCAAAATCTCCAGGGTCGGGGTCCCCGCTTTCGTCTTTGCACACGGCACTAAAAACACAGCTTTAAAAACTGGTATGCTGCAACCAAAACAGGTTTTTGCAGCCATCCAGGGCCGAGTTACTGCGGCCTCACCCCTTGTTTGCAGTGGTACGTCCTGCTAAGTCCCCCCCCCCAAACCATCCCCAATAGAAGTGGCTGTAAAGAATCACTCAAGCCGCACTAAGCAGCTGCCTGTGAGTTAGGTCATTTTCCCAGGAGCCACAGAGTGGGCATTGGCAGGACCTCAAAAAGAGGGGACACCATCTGTTCGGCGCCTGAAAAGGTTGGTGACACCTTCTGTGGTACCAACAACTTCTAATTAAGTGGCCAAGAATGCAGGAGCAGCTCCCTGCGCGTGATTGGTCGGCTAGCCTTAGTTATCCTGACTGCAGTTTCACGCACCTCTCCATCACATCTGGGCTAATGAAAAATGAAGAAGTGGAGACAATAAACACTTGATGAAGGTGACACATGACTGTAGCAGCCAACAACAAAACAAAGGGGTTTTGTTTTCGGCTTGGTTTGTTTTTTCACCAGGATTACATAAAAATTACTGGGCCAATTGTTATAACATTTGTTGGGAAGGTGAAGAAAATATTAAGAAAGAACCCATTATTGGATATGGATGTTTTTGAATCCGACTAATGGGGATGATACAAAAACAATGTTTTAAATATGTAAGATTGGGCATTTTAATGGCTCATTGCCTTGCTTGTAGGTCTACGCTTCCTGAGTGTATTTCTACTTCCTTTTCATTCTTATGTTCTTTTGTCCCCTTTTTGTACCACTTAATTGAATGTTATCGGGTAGCATTGAAAACTGCTTTAGCCCCATGGTCAATCCCAGCGTGGTTTGTTGCTGTTGTATCATGACGCGCTAATTTCATTAAAATCAGGAATTAAATGAAAGAACAAATGGACTTAACATTTGTCTGATTTCCATCGCTCCTACAGCCAAATCTGCTGCTCAGAAATGTTACTAATTAGGCTTATTAAGTAATTAAGAAGAGGTCTTAATTATATCTGCGCCACTGGGACCTGCACGGCACTAACCATGAAATGCTGTGCCGCGCTGCTCCGCTTTATTGGCTTGGATGTTATACAATTACATCCATTTAACTGTTCTGAATGTGTGCCTTTAAAAAGAAAAAAGAAATGTGGAATACATTTTTAAGGAAGTATTAGGCAAATATCTATCTCACGTGAAATTGCAGAGGTAGAAACACTCAGCAGCCTTCAACGGCGCAGACTCAAAATGTCAAGTGAATTACCTAGCAAAGAGTTAAAAGTTTAATGAAATATATTGCGGGGAGGTAAATGAGGGGTTTGGCACAGGCATGGTTTTAGTCTCAGGAGAATGGGCACCAAACGGCCCTCTTAGTCTCCACAGCCATCAGTCAAAGCAGCAGCCACCCGTCCCCTTCTCTCACACAAGGAGACTTCTCTGGAAGCCGCGATGATCTATACCCCATGACCTCACTCTGTGTCCAACATATTTTGATTTGTAGCTTGAGTGTTATTCAAACACAAATTCAAAAGAGGATGAAATTCAGCAGAGAGCTTTTTGTTGGACGCACACCAAGGTACAGTCCTTTAAGATGTCTCTGCCCTTGTGGGGAAAGAGAGAGAGGGGGGGGGGGGTGGAGAGAGAGGATTGAGTAAGCGCGGTGCTACAAGCCTGGCATCAGATACCCTCACTGCCTTTATTTCCCTTTGTGCAAAGCAAACACTGAACCTTTGTTTGCCTCTTCAAATGGGCACATTTTTGATGCCATATCACTAAATGTGATAGAGCAAACGGAAATGTAACAATCAAAAACAAAGTCTGTTTTGTTTAAATCACATCTGCTTCATGATTTCAGCATGGAAGCCACACAGAGATCAAAAGCTCTGTATTCCACATGCAATGTAAAATGATATAACACCTTTGGATTGAAGGTCAGTTTAAGGACATGTTGGCACTGTGGAAAAGACCTCAGTGTGATCAAATCCATAACATGTAAAGTGAACCTGCATACATATAATGACGTAACCTATGTTTAGGGTTATACAATCTCTAGAGCTACAATTAAACTAGAGTTGTTTGGGATTTGAGTGTTGCGAGAGAATAATTATACATTATAAATCTATTTTTATC